AGAGCGCGTGAGTTCCTCGAGGCCTGGCATTCTGGCCGGAACCCAATCAACAAACACCTGGAGCTGGAGGGTGTCTATGAAGCTCTGCAGGTTAAGCCAGCATAAGGCACCAGATCGACAAGGAGAAGAGGTGCCCACATGACAGACACGTGAACCGATCGAAGGCTCACATTCGAAGCAGGCAACAATCAATAGTCATTCACATCTGGCATTGGTTTGCGAGACTCCGCGAATCAGCACCAAATAGCTGCACTGAAGATGTTACCTAGTTTGGTAACGAAACGTCTGCAACAGAAATGCCCAGCTCGGAGAACAAGACAATCCTTTCACTACTATGTAATCAGAATCAAAAGACAGTTAGGCGAACAAGCTTGTTTTCGGTGGTTCGCATCAGGCCAACACACCACGGATGATAGGAATAAATCAAACACAGTGTATTTAAATAGGATGAATCAATGAAGTGAATTGACCAGTTAATGCGATCAAGTGACCACACTGGCTTGGGCATCATTAGTGGAAGGGTCAAGCGTGGTGTCGTAACATGGGGAAGTTTGAGGCCATGGCAGCTGTAAAGCTTGTACAAACTTCTTTTGGGCACATAATTCGGGATTATGGAGCCGAATAGCGATTGCTTCCGCTGTCGCCAATAGGCGACATCGGAGAGCTCGCGTGTGGCGTCCAGATATCTTGTAGATAGGCCGAAAGGCCTCTCGCACATTCACTTGGTGATTTGTATCGGCCAAATGCCCCAGCACCGCGCTGACTACTGTCTTTCTGACACCAGTGTAGAGCCAAGCCGGGCAATGTTCTCGTACTCTCTCAGACAGTCTCCTGGTCGTTTTTCCAATATAACTTGCTCGACACGAGCAAGAAGAATGGTACACACAGAAGGAAATATTCGACCTCGGCAATCTGTCCTTGCGATGCTGACTCACGACTGGCGTAGATGTGAAGCTGACGCGGAGGTCAGCTGCAAAGTAGGTTCTCGCTGTTGCATTGCAGAGCCTTTGAGTAGTTCGTTCTGCTATCACATCACCTTTGAAAGGCAGTGATAAGTAGATTAAGCGCTTTTCAGCGGTGATTGTTTGGACTTTAGGTGCTCGTGGCCCCATGTGTCTCCGGATGAATTTGTCCGGATAACCATTTTGTTCGAGAACGCTTCGAATAAAACTCAGTTCATCTGACAGTGTATCTTCCGTGCATATTTTCCTCGCTCTTTCTGTTAGACAACGGACAAGGTTACGTTTTTGACACATTGGAACAAAACTGGCGAAATGGGTATACTGGCCGGTCCACGTTGTCTTTCTATGTACTCTCCTTTGTACTGTCCCGTCTGATGTTCTGGTGATGTGGACATCTAAGAATGACGAGTTGTTACTTTCAAGTTCTGTGGTGAACACTATGTTGTTATGTGTAGCGTTGAAGTGGGCTAACAGATCTTCAATGCATACTCGATCATCCGCAACACAAAATATGTCATCTACGTATCGACCGTAGTAAACCAAGTTGTTGCTACATTCGTTTAGCTGAGTGTTCTCCAACTTACTCATGAAGACATCGGCGAGTAACGGTCCTAATGGTGAACCCATAGCTACCCCGTCTATTTGTCTGTAAAACGTCTCATTGAACTGAAACTGAATGTTCTTAGTGCACGCCAATATAAGTTGCCTTAAACAGTCAGTTGGAATACCGATGTTGATGTTGTGCAATTGGATAAACTCGCAGAGATAGTCAATGGTCTCTTCTAACGGGACGTTGGTGAAAAGTGACGTCACATCTAGTGAGAACATCTTCCGTCCAGCTAGATTGAGTTGTTGCACCGAGTCAAGAAATTCGAAAGTGTCCCGGAGGCTGTACCTAGATATGGCTTTCCTGACCGGCTCCAGACGTTTAACAAGCCACTTAGCAGTCAGATGATAGGGAGAGTTGTACATGTCCAGTATCGTTCTCAACGGTACACCTTGCTTCTGGATCTTAGGTAAGCCATAAAGCCTCGGAATCACGGTTCCACTAGGTCTGGCGTATCCAAAAGTGTCAGAGTCTATGATGTTATTTTGTTTCAAACGCCGCAAAAGTCTTGTCAGGGTCTTCTCAATTGCCGGCGTCCTGTCTTACTCGTTTTGCATTTTGCGAAATTTCGATGCGTCTCTTAGGATGGTGTTCATCTTATCAATATAATCTGACTTGTTCATCAATACAATCCCGGCTCCTTTGTCCGGTCTAGATAACAAAACATCCTCGTTTTTCTTGAGTTCCTTCAGAGCGTCCAAATGCCTGTTCTTTAGAAGATATTTGATGGTCGGTTTGTATCTCAGGTACTGGTAGCATGTGTTTACCAATGTGGATTTATACTGTTCGGCTGCTAGTGCTGATGATGGTGTTAAGGTGCAAACTTGAGAACAGAGATTTTCAAATTGGACTTTAAAGTCTAACTGTTGTACATTACCTCGGGGGTAACAGAATTTCGGGCCAAGTGAGAGGACCTCCATTTGTGTTCTATCTAATTGCAAAGAGGAGAAATTGTGCACGTACTTCTCAGGGTCAGGTGGAAACGAGTTATTCTGCGTTACTGAAGCGAGCTGTCGCCGTAATGAAGCTATTCGCACTTCCACTTGCCGAGCCATAATTCGCTGAACGAATGAGTCGAACTGTTTGTATTCCTCATGGTCCAATTCACTCAGTGCGTCGGAGTAGCTACACCGCTTGCGGTCAAGCTCATCAATCCGAGAAACCACGGTGTCTCGCTTGTTCAGAGCGTGACGCTTCAAAGCAGTGCTCGTTGGCTTAACTCCATTACGTCTGAGAATCTTCCAAAAGTGTTTAGGATATTCACTACGCTAAAGGCATTCATCCAGAAACTGCGCCGTCGCCTTCACCACCGCAAGTCTCGTGTTGAACCTAACGTACTGAATAAGTTGTCTCAACACAGTGGGATCCTTGGATTGTTTCAACTGAGAAAATAATCCCTGAGATGACATCAGAATCAAAAGACAGTTAGGAGAACAAGCTCCCTATCATCTGACTGCTAAGTGGCTTGTTAAACGTCTGGAGCCGGTCAGGAAAGCCATATCTAGGTACAGCCTCCGGGACACTTTCGAATTTCTTGACTCGGTGCAACAACTCAATCTAGCTGGACGGAAGATGTTCTCACTAGATGTGACGTCACTTTTCACCAACGTCCCGTTAGAAGAGACCATTGACTATCTCTGCGAGTTTATCCAATTGCACAACATCAACATCGGTATTCCAACTGACTGTTTAAGGCAACTTATATTGGCGTGCACTAAGAACATTCAGTTTCAGTTCAATGAGATGTTTTACAGGCAAATAGACGGGGTAGCTATGGGTTCACCATTAGGACCGCTACTCGCCGATGTCTTCATGAGTAAGTTGGAGAACACTCAGCTAAACGAATGTAGCAACAACTTGGTTTACTACGGTCGATACGTAGATGACATATTTTGTGTTGCGGATGATCGAGTATGCATTGAAGATCTGTTAGCCCACTTCAACGCTGCACATAACAACATAGTGTTCACCACAGAACTTGAAAGTAACAACTCGTCATTCTTAGATGTCCACATCACCAGAACATCAGACGGGACAGTACAAAGGAGAGTACATAGAAAGACAACGTGGACCGGCCAGTATACCCATTTCGCCAGTTTTGTTCCAATGTGTCAAAAACGTAACCTTGTCCGTTGTCTAACAGAAAAAGCGAGGAAAATATGCACGGAAGATACACTGTCAGATGAACTGAGTTTTATTCGAAGCGTTCTCGAACAAAATGGTTATCCGGACAAATTCATCCGGAGACACATGGAGCCACGAGCACCTAAAGTCCAAACAATCACCGCTGAAAAGCGCTTAATCTACTTATCACTGCCTTTCAAAGGTGATGTGATAGCAGAACGAACTACTCAAAGGCTCTGCAATGCAACAGCGAGAACCTACTTTGCAGCTGACCTCCGCGTCAGCTTCACATCTACGCCAGTCGTGAGTCAGCATCTCAAGGACAGATTGCCGAGGTCGAATATTTCCTTCTGTGTGTACCATTCTTCTTGCTCGTGTCGAGCAAGTTATATTGGAAAAACGACCAGGAGACTGTCTGAGAGAGTACGAGAACATTGCCCGGCTTGGCTCTACACTGGTGTCAGAAAGACAGTAGTCAGCGCGGTGCTGGGGCATTTGGCCGACACAAATCACCAAGTGAATGTGCGAGAGGCCTTTCGGCCTATCTACAAGATATCTGGACGCCACACGCGAGCTCTCCGATGTCGCCTATTGGTGACAGCGGAAGCAATCGCTATTCGGCTCCATAATCCCGAATTATGTGCCCAAAAGAAGTTTGTACAAGCTTTACAGCTGCCATGGCCTCAAACTTCCCCATGTTACGACACCACGCTTGACCCTTCCACTAATGATGCCCAAGCCAGTGTGGTCACTTGATCGCATTAACTGGTCAATTCACTTCATTGATTCATCCTATTTAAATACACTGTGTTTGATTTATTCCTATCATCCGTGGTGTGTTGGCCTGATGCGAACCACCGAAAACAAGCTTGTTCGCCTAACTGTCTTTTGATTCTGATGTCATCTCAGGGATTATTTTCTCAGTTGAAACAATCCAAGGATCCTACTATGTAATCGCTAAGGCAACTTAAATTGCTTGATGAAGTAAACGAGTTACCTAAAAATGACGAGAAATGTCGTGGTTTATGCAGGTGGCAGATAGCACAACGTCGCGGGCGGTAGACACCGCTATAGCGGGATAATGTACGATGATCCCGAAAATGTAACAGTGCGGGATATAAAGAGGCAGCTCATGCCTAAATAGGGTGGAGATCCGTAAGAGAACGGAGAAAGTAAAAAGTCAAGTGTTTGAAAAACCTTTTGCCGCCTTCAACGAGAAAAGGACAGTGGATCTGTTTGCTAGTTAGTAGAAGAAATAGGTGAGCATTATCCATCAAGTGATGACACAAAGGTACCCAACCACCTACCATAATTTGAGCACTTTTTTTCCATCGATGAAACTTGATTAATGTGCTCTAGCCGACGTTTGGAAGCGATGACTAGCCTGAACTCCTCCAGGAATGCAGAATTGGCCTGCGAACGAGACAATGATTTTGATGACAAGTACTTTTCTCTTAGATCCAATCATCACCTTTTCCGCCTCGCGAAGTAATTCGACAGCTTTCTCCAGATCAGTGATATTTTCAAACTCATCCAAAGATTTCGTAAGTGCCGCAACTCCTTTTTCAATTTCACGATGATTCCGACGATACCGCTTGTTCAACAACTTATAACTTGCCTAAAAATAAACCAATGGATAATAGCACATACATTAACAGCGGTGTATTCCGTAAGCGGTATATCTCTTTTAGAATCACCCATTGGAAGAAGCACTGTGCCAACAAGACAGGGCAGATCAAGTTCCAAGGAAGATACAGGCTTTCGCCGAAATAGCGTTTTGTTTCGAGTTCAAGTTCAGGTGGAACCGGAACAATAGGAAAGTCTCGCGAGTGTTCCTTCTAGAGCGGATGGCTGAGCAAAAAATGATAAGATGCTCCGACGTCTTGATGAATCTAAAAGGAAACACATGAACCAAACCCTGGTTTATTAATCACTGCCCACCTTTCCTGCACTAACAAACCCCGTTGTGTCGGTCTCGTTAAGTAAGCAAGACATAGGAGGAAAATAGAAGATAAAAAGGAAGGTCATTCAAGAGGAGAATACCAATGAGTGAAGAAAAGCACAGAACATAATAGCAAGTAGAAAGACGGATATGGTCAGGGATAGAGAGCGGCCAACCGGCGTTCAAAACATTTGACGTAGGTTCCCTGAACACATTTCTGGGAAGCGAGTGCCGGCGCCCGATAGCCACACAATAACTGATCTTCCGCCTTGATACAGGCAGAACGCGGCTTCTGTAACTCTGACGCACGCGGGTTCGAGCCTGCGTAGGAACAGTGCGACCCATGAAGTATCCTTAGCCCAGGTGCAACTAGTGGTGGTTGTACGGCAGCGAAGCGTCGGTACTGCGTACCGACGTACCGCTTATGCCCCTCATAGCTTCATGAGGTCACCTCAGAGACCAGACAATAAAGCCGGGCTAAAAGCCTGGACAAGTCCGGTTCAACCTTCCTAGTTGATATACGGGCTAGATGTTCTCGAAGAATTCAATGCATATAAAATAAGTAGACGCTCAAGGTTCGTTTGTTCCCGTAACTACTCAACCAATCTGCTACCCACTTGCAAACCCTCTCGATTTCCACTGTGTCCCAAAAGAGGCATGGCATCATCATCGTTCATCATTAGCTAGAGCTGAGAAACACCTCAGCTACTGTGCCGCAATAAATAGAAAAGGAAAAACCACAGCGACACGCCAGCTGAGCCACGGGTAACGGATAGACATCGTTCCGGAGAGCTAGCAGTCGGCTGTTGTACTGCAAAAAATTATATGATGCTTCAGGAATGATATTGTGATCGGAGATGGAGGCTAGGCTGGAGGGTGATGGACAAAGAAACAAGATAAACGTAACTGAGGTCAGCTCATAGCTATGTCAACAAGTGCATCTAGCCAAAGGCGCTCGACATCTCTCCGGCCCCAATCATGGAGCCGACGTTCCAACCGAGGCCAAATACGAACTAAGCGCCACGAGGCAGGGCGGGCAATCCTGGATGCAGTATGACAGCTGGGGTCGAATGAAAGCTGAGAACAGCTTCACGAAGATGTCGGTAGCTAAGACTCTGAAAGAACGGCGTACTAACCGCAACGTTTGGAGCCCTTATTGTGGTCATCTTCCAGCTTTCGCTGGGATGCAAAGTCCAGGAATGGACGACACCTGGGGTGATTGGAGACAATGGGGAATTTAACCCCAACAAGTAGGTACTTGGGAGGGGAAAGTTGCTCCTATACGAAAATAGAAATAGCCTGATTAAAGGACAGTAGCCATAAAGAAGACCAGTTCCAGAATCCATCCAAGGCATGTTGCATGGACTCAGGAAGCTAAGAGACAACTAAAACATTCCACAGCTTTAGATCATCAGCAAATAATAACGATGATACCTTACATATATGAAGAACAGCATCGGTCCAAGGACTGAACACTGTGGGGCACCGCTTGGGCCGTTTGCCTAAATGATAGCCTGCGACTTACGCGTACACATTGTTATCGTCCCTGCAAAAATACAGACGCCAGTGAAAATTGCGCGCAGATACACCGTAAGAGCTCAGCTTTTGTAATATCCTCAAGTGGGGTACCGTGTCAAATGCTTTCGAAAAATGCAAGAACAGCATGTTCACTAAGTGGCCATTGTCCATTGTATCAGCACAAATCTCAAGGGTTACAAATAAATTCATCCGACACGAAAATCCATTGCGGAATCCGTGTTGTGCACCAATACGTAGGTAAAATCTATTCAGATGACTGTCCAACGAATCTCTGACCAGGATTCGAAGCAGGTTGATTACGACTCTAGTCAGACTAACTGGCCAATAACTGACAGACAGAGTCCTGTTGTGATTTTAGGAGAGAGGATAGATGATAGCTTCTTCGCATTCAGAAGGTGATGTACGGTTATCAAGTGAGTTTAAACAGCTGTAAGCAGTCCATTTAATTCCGCTGACAAGTTGCAGAAGCATCAGGCGAACTGAATCAGAATCAACTGCTTTTAAAGGGTTTAGGTCTATTATTAGCCTAAGGACTTGTGTTTTCATCAGTAAAGTTGGCTAAATAAGAAACCACATGGATACTGGGGACAAATGCAACACTAGTCAACGAGATCTCACGTACAAAAGCCCCTGCATACTGCTCACTAAGTGCACAAGACTTGTCGGAATCCGCATACGCATGAGTCCCATCGGACCACATCAACGCTGCAATTAACGAATTAAAACTGCAGCCTCTCTTAGGCGAACTTCAGATTTTCCGAAGCTCCATAAGCCAATCACCTCGTACAACAGCCGAGCTCTCCACAAATGTTGTTTACATCAATTTCTAGACTATTACCTACAACATGAAGAAGCCACATGAAAAAGCTGACGAAACGGCCTCGGTCGGTTGTTCTCGACTCCGTGGTTGGGATTGCAGAGATACAGTGTCGCTAGTTAGAGACCCGAGAAGTCATGGCCCAAGACCGAGGGCAATGGTGGAAGTGTATCTGTGTTGCTTGCGCTACCCTTCCCTGCCCCCACTAAAACAAACAAGTAAAAAAAACTCAAAAACTGAATGGAAAAAAACTGAAAAAACGTGCTTTTTTCTTATGAGTATCACGTTTACTTATTCCACCATGATTCTGATAGTATAATATCTGTGTGTATATATATATATATATGGCAGGAACTATGCCGCCTAAAGGGTTATAAGGCACCGGGCCCTGATAGTCTACCTCCTGCATCATTTAAAGATAAAGACTCTTCGCTAGTTCGAGAACGCACCACTTTGTTCTTATAAAGTCTGGGCTAAAGAGGTTTCATTAACCTGGGGTGAGTCGGTAGTCGTCCCCAACTTCAAAAAAGGGCTTGCGTAAAAATTGCTCCAATTACAGAGGCATAAATTTGGTTTCTGTCGTTTGCAAGATTCTGGTGTCTAGCACTATTCGCAGGCTACCCCCAACGCGTGAATCACTACAACGAGAAGAACAAGCTCGGTTCCAAACTGACCGCAGCTGCCTCGATCAGATTTTTACACTCGGCCAGATTCCCGAGCTCCGCCATATGTATCATAAGCCAACGATTGTTGTGTTCCTGGATATCCTTGCTGCCTTCGATTCTGTCGACAGGTCTGCATTGTATATATATATATATATATATATATATATATATATATATATCGTCTGTTAAAAAACATTGTGCCATCAGAACCATAGCAGAAAAAAGTGGAGAAGAGGAAAATACAAACTGTGGTTTTTAAAAAATGGCAAAACGATTCTTTTTTGAGTTTTACACAAGCCATTTTGAATATTTTGTTTTGTGTTTTTGTGGGTATTAAAGAGGGGTATAATGGCAGAAAAACATTGACGCCACATATGTCTATGGTGCACCATGACGTCCAACGTTCCTAACCACTGAGATTTCGCCTCTCCTGGTCCCCAACCTGGAAGACGGACTGGTCCGATTGCCGCCAAACTTGACGTTGCCTTCTTCATGATCCTTCTCCACGTCATTGGCTGTCCACCGCGGCACCTTTTCAAATCGCCCCCTGTAAGTGCAAATAGCGCTGGATGTGGAAGAGGATGGGCTGGCATATGCAAAACATGCCCGAGACAGCGCATGCGATGCCGAAGAATAAGGTCCTGAAGACTGGCACTATTCGCCCCAAGCACGCGGTCTTGCACCACTGGTGTTGCCACCACACCCGAGCAATCCTTCGTAGACAGCGACTGTCGAAGACTGACAGCCGCTTCATGTCTTCCGAGCGAAAATGCCAAGTCTCACAGCCGTACAAGAGTACTGCACGAATGGAAGCATTGTACACCCTGCCCTTGAGCTTGAGAATGGCATCACGACGACGCCATAGGTGTCTCAGTTTGATGAATGCAAGGCGGGCCTGTGCAATCTGTTGTGAGACTTCATCCCCAACACCGCCACCAGCCGTGATGCAACTCCCTAGATAAGTAAAGCAAGGGACATGCTTCAGAACATGTCCAGCAATGGTGAGCGCGGGTTCAAGCACTTGCCAGTCCTGGAACAGTGTTTTACACTTCCCCGAAATGAAGCATAAGCCGTACTTAGACGCCTCCATCGCTAAGCGGTCTGGACGGTTTGTGGGTCGTCCCCCAGCAAGGCGATATCATCGGCGTAGTCCAAGTCCGTGACTCTGTCTCCAGGGAGGAGCTCAACGCCACAGTTCTGGACACCTTCCAGTGCTCTCTGGACATCTTCGATGGCGAAATTGAAGAGGAAAGGTGAAATAGGGCAACCATGGCGAACACCGCGGGTCACAGCAAAGGAAGTAGAGAACATGCAGTAAGCCCTGACTTTGCCCGACATGTGACTGTGAAGTTCTTTCAAATGGGTACAAACTAGTCGGGAACACCTTTCTTCAGTAAACAGTTCCAAAACACAGATCTATATCCTGAATCAAATGCCGCTCGGATGTCCAAAAACACTACGACTGTTGACCGCCGGTGGATGTGACAAAGTTCGGGAAGTTGGCGAAGCGTGAAGATTTGATCGATGCAGCCGCGACCTGGGCGAAGTCCAGCTTGTTCTTCTCGGGAAAACCCCTCTCTAGTGCTTGAAAGCCTGCGAAGTAGAACCGACATGAAGATTTTGGATGCGACGGAGATTAACGAGATTCCGCGGTAATTACAGCAATCGTTGCGAGAGCCCTTCTTGTGAATCGAAACAATGACCGATTCTCCCCAAGAGTTCGGAACCTTTACCTCAGTTCAAACTTTCGTGAACAGCGATAGGATTTCGCTGACAAGTACACTCCCGCCATCTTTGAATAGAACCGGTGGTAGACTGTCGGGACCAGGAACCTTGTGGCGTTTCAAAGATTGGATTGCATTTCGGATCTCTGCTTCATTTGGGGGGGGGTGGAGACAGGCCAAGTATCATCTATTGGGGCTGGAAATGTTA